GGCCTTGTACTAAACATTACTATCCCTAAAATCATAGTTTTGATGTGTTAATGATCTATTTTTTTCTGACCTATGAAAATAAGTGTATAGCTATGGAATCATCTATATCTTGAATAACATGTATAGTCAGTGATACATGTTCCACACTAAATAGGAAGCCACCTTTCAAAGAAGGATTCGGGGGCAAATGGGTTGAACTAAAGATCTTGGCTCGTCTGTGCATGTGTATGAAACACATTACACATTTCAGCTAAACTTCATCCTTTTACCCCTTCCTTCTGTTAAGGCCTTCCTTTAGTAGTAAATCAGTGACCTAAAAGCATGGTACAATTAATGTCCCAGGGACCAAGCGAAGAATGGATTCAGTGAGTATTCTGCTGATTAGAACGTGAACAGGAGCCCCGAGTACTCGTACAGCCCCCGTGTCTGACAGAATTGGGGCGCCTGGGTGGCTCAGTCGTTAAGCGTCTGCCTTCGGCTCAGGTCATGATCCCGGGGTCCTGGGATCGAGCCCCACATCGGGCTCCCTGCTCAGCAGAGTCCCGCTTCTCCCTCTCCCATTCTCCCTGCTTGTGCGCGCGCGCTCTCTCTCTTTCTCTCTGTCAAATCTTAAAAACAAAAACAAAAAAAAAGAATTCATTTTTTTGACGCCAATACCAGATATGCTCTAAAAATTTAGAATAATGAAGTGATTAAAAATGTTCTATAGGTAAGGTTTAGAGTCAGGTTTTTCTCAGTACTTCATATATTTTAATTTTTTGTTTTGTTTTCATGTCTCTTTATGTTTCCTTGGTTTACACATAAATTAAAAGGCACTAGACCAAAGCCTAACGTGGACAAGAAAAAAAACCATTATTATTCTAAAGTGTTAATTGTGGCTACTGCGATTTTACTTTATTTTTTTCATTATGATAAATGCACTGTTTATTCCCCATTCCCTATTTCACCCAGACTTCCCCTACCTACCTCCCCCTCCCCCACCATCAGTTTGCTCCCTCTAGTTAAGAGTCTGTTTCTTGGATTGTCTCTTTATTTTTCCTTTTGTTTGTTTCTTGAATTTCACATATGAGTGAGATCATATGGTATTTTTCTTTCTCTATTTCACTTAGCATTACACTCTCTAGCTTCATCCATGTTGTTGCAAATGGCAGGATTTCATTCTTTTTTATGGCTGAGTAATATTCCATTTAATAAATAACTAAAATATACACACACACCACATCTTCATCCATTCATCTACCGATGGGACACTTGGGCTGCTTCTATAATCTGGCTCTTGTAAATAATGCTGCTATAAACATAGGGGTGTGTGTATCCCTTTGAATTAGTGTTTTTGTATTTGGGGGAAATAGCCAGTATGATTACTGGCATCGTAGGGTAGTTCTATTTTGAATTTTTTGAGGAACCTCCATACTGTTTTCCACTGTGGCTGCACCAGTTTGCATTGTCACCAACGGTGCAAGAGGGTTCTTTTTTTCCCCACATCCTAGTCAACACTTGTGGCTTCTTCTGTTGTTGATTTTAGCCTTTCTGACAGGTGTGAGGTGGTATCTCATTGTGGTTTTGATTTGTGTTTCCCTGACGATCAGTAGTGTTGAGCATCTTTTCATGTGTCTGTTGGCCATCTGGATATCTTTTTTGAAGAAATGTCTGCTCATGTGCTCTGCCCATTTTTAAATTGGATTATTTGCTTTTGGATGTTGAGTTTAGAAGTTCGTTATTGGCTATGTCATTTGCAGATTTCTTCTCCCATTCCATAGGTTGCCTTTCAGTTTTGTTGATTATTTTCTTTGCTGTGCAGAAGCTTTTTATTTTGATGTCATCCCAATAGTTTATTTTTGCTTGTGTCCCTTGCCTTGGGAGAGAGATCTAGAAAAATGTTGCTACGGTCAATGTCAGAGAAAGAACTGCCTGTGTTCTCTTCTAGAATTTTTATGGTTTCAGGTCTCACATTTAGGTCTTTAATCCATTTTGAGTTTATTTTTGTGTATGGTGTGAGAAAGTGGTCCAGTTTCATTCTTTTGCATGTAGCCATCCAGTGTTCCCAGCACCATGTTGAAGAGTACCTATTTCAGTCTTAAAGAAGTGGTGCCTTGAGGCTGCTTCCTGTCCCTTGAAGTCAGTCATCCTTGTGTTTGTAATAAGCTACTTTCTTTCTGCAGAGCTGGGGGCACATAGGTTTTAAATTTACTTTAGTTGCTTCTGTCCTTCATTTGTCAAATACTTCTTGCATATCTACTACATCCAGGCATTGGATTGGCTGTTGGGGAGACCACGAAGGGAGAAACACATGGTCCCGGCCTCATGGAGCTTACTGTGTAGTGTCGGAGACACATTAATACGTCCTCTCCCAAATAAGTGGAAAATCACCCTGAGCAAGTGGTGTTTCAGCTGAGATCTGTGACAGGGGAGAAAAAGAAGGTTCCAGGCAAAGGAAATAACCAGTCGAAGGTCCCACCTTGCAATGGGATGGGGTGGGGTGGGAGAGCATCACACCTCAGAGGAATTACAAGAATGCAAGTGACTGCAGCCTGGGGCAGATGGGGCTGAACAGGTGCTGGCCCCGCCATGCCATTGGTCTTCATCCGAAGGGCTATGGGAAACCACTGAAGGGTTGGACTCCTCAATAAACATTGAGGCCCTCCCAGCCATGAAGAGGAGGGACGTGGATATCAGGTACAGAAGCAACAGTACTCATAGAAACACCCCTAACATTATCTATGGGAAACAGAACTCTCCCCCCATTTCCCACCCTCCCATAAACAGCATGGCTTACTGTCACTCATCTCGGTGAATGTTCTCACCATCCACCCAGTAGCTCAGGCCAAAAATCTAGGTGTCATCCATGATACCCCCTTTGTCTTCATACCCCTACCCCCATGTCTTATCAATGGCCCAGTCCTGTCCATTCTACCTCTTAAATATCTCTGCAATTCCTCCCCTTCGCCTTCTCCACCATTACCTTCATGCACCTGTCTCTTGCTCAGTGACTGCAATGGTTTCCCAAAGGCTCTCTTACTCTGGTGGCCTTTTCAAAATACAAATCTGATCCGGTCACCACCCTGCCTCAAGTCCAGGGATCCAGGGTTAATCTTGATTGGCCCTAGCCCATCATGGCAGCCTCATGCCACTTGCCCTTGATTGGTTCAGTTATGGACGGACACCCAGTGACTCATCTGGGGTTACTGGAACTCAGGCATTCTTCTGGACAACTTCTGGATAAGGTGTTCTTGCTCTTTGGAAAAGACCGTTGGAAGAAAAGGATCCTTTTATTTTGCTAGGCATTATCACATTTGGTTGTGCCTCTGTCCCAAAGCCCAGGGTGCCACTCCCAGAGCCTGCCCTACCCTGTGAGATAAATCCCCTTGCTTTGGGATCGGGCCAGAGAGGTGCCAGGGGAGACCACCTGTGGCCAGAGAAAAGGATTTCCTGCTTGCCTTCCTCTTGGTATTGATTGAAACTAATAGTAAGGGCACAACAACATTCATAAGTGTATTCAGCCTGGACAAAAGGAAGTGGCTCAGGAGTGTTTTCAGCTAGGGGAGGAAGTTGGATTTCGGAACCAGCCCTGGGAATTAATGAGGAGAGTCTGGCTGGCTGCTTGCCATTCAAGAAGGTCATTTTACCAGGATTTCAAAAGGCAACCCAAAATGGAACCACCTGATCAGAAAATACTCCTCTGCTGAGGAGTGTAGGATACTGAGCCAGGTGCAGATTGGAAGGGCGTCCGGAGAGAAGGCACCATCGTAAGAAAAGCCTTGGCAGCGTGAAAACCAAGGGCAGCCATCACAGAATGGGGCTGGAGACAGGCGTGGGAAATGAGGGGAACTCGGGAAGGGAGGCCAGCATAGGGTGTGCCTTGGAAGGTGGGCTGAGTTTAGATTGCTCTGCAGCCTGAACTGGCTTCCGTGGAAAACTTTTGAGCAGTAAAGGATTAGAAGTGGTGAAAGTGTTCTGGATCAGAGTGAGGGTTTGTGGGGTAAAAAGACAGGGTCGGGGGACCGGGAGCTATGTTGCCATGGAAGAGGTCCCCAAACTTCAGCGTGCACCAGAATCACCAGAGCAGCTTGTGACAGATGTAAATTCCTGCTGCTCACCGCCCCCCCCCGGATTCGGATTCTGTAGGTTGTCTGACTGGTACATTTTTTAAAAGCTGCTCTGGCAGCGATACCGCCAAGCGCTGACAGAGCTGAGCTCCCACCATGCGCTCGTCCATTCTGTGACCGGGAACACCGCGTTTCTCAACGTGACATAAAACGTTCCAGTAGATTCCCTCGACCTGACAGCCACCCCGGCCCCTCCCGCTCCGGGCGGACAGAGGGGGCCCGACGAGGGGTTCTCGGGGCGCTCCCACCGCCGGCCAAGCCGGCCCGCACGTCGCGCTCTCAGGGAAACCGACCCTGCCCTGGCCCTTCCCCGGCCGGGATCTGGAAAATCTGCAGGGTCTCCCCAAATGGCCGCAGTGACCACGCACAAAGCTGTGGGCGGGCCTCTATGATGACTGACGGATGTCGTAACCAATTACGTTCAGGTGCTTGTTTGTTTCCTCCCCATCCCTCCCCCGGGGCCGAGACTTCCGTGACTGACAGTTCACTCTGGGCGCTGTTACGTAAGGGGAGGGTCAAGTGCTGCCCCCGCCCGAGCGGAGCAGATTTGATTGGCAGGGCGGAGTGCTGTCGTTCCCAACGCCTCCGGAAGAACGTCCTTGACGGACAGGTATGGGAGCCACTTGGCGCCGGGAGGCTGGGCGGAAGCGTCTGGGCCCAGGGGCGTGGGGCAGGGGGCGGGGCCCAACACTGAGAGCAGAGCAGGGCGGGGCGGGGAGCAGGCAGGGGCTGGGCTGGCGCTGCAGCCAGAGATGCTGTGGGGCCGCGACGGCGCTCAGCAGCTGGGAGCACTGCGTTGAAAACGCCGAGGTGAGGTGCACTGCCGGGCCGGCTAGGAGGGACGGGAGGGACGGGAGGGCCGTGGAGTCTCGGCCCGGCATTTGTCTGCCTTACCCGGCGCTCTCGACTCCGTAGCGACGGCGGCCGCTCTGGGACACGGGGGCGGGGCCGGGCACCTGTCCACGTTTGCAGGCACCTGCTGCGCCGGCGGTCGCGGGCCCTCGGCCGGCGTTGGGAGCTGTCGGGGTGCTGGGCCCGGAGGCCTGAGGGAGGGAGGCGGGCCCGACCGGCTCGCCCCGTCCGCGGCCCGCCCTCCCCGCCTCCGTCCTGCGCGCTGGTTGGTGGGGGGGGGAGGCGTCCTCGAGCCCTGGAGGCCCTCAGCTCCCCACTGGAGGGGCTCGAGGGCCCGGGGCCGGCCTCGAGCTAGCTGCAAAGCAGGGACATGGCCCCTGCCTTGCCTCACCTCGAGACAGGTTTGTCCGGATTCCGTGCGTGTGTGGAGATGGATTTACGCCCCGGGCGGGGGTGCCGGTCCCGGCTGTCCGCAGCGAGTCGCCGGGCCAGGGTCGAGGCTGTTTTTTGTCCGTTCTCGGTGCCGTACTCTGTCTTCTCTTAACGTGGAGTTTAAGGCTGTTCGGGGTGATGTATTAAGTTAGTGCCTATTTAGGGGCCGTGGCACGTAGGAAAGCAGCACCCTTCTTGTAAGTTTTGGCTCAAGCCATGTTGAGATCATTTGTACGGGTCCACTGATTTCTGAGCTCTCTGTCATAAAGGAAGACCGTCCTGTTTGGTTTGTATGGCCGAACCAGCAGAAATTCTCAAATTGTGTCCTAGGGCTTCCTTCCATCTATGTCACCCTGTTGGAAAATGCTGAACCCAGTCTGGGTAGGCTAGACATCTAATAGACCGCGTAGTTATTCTCTAAAAGCGCGCTGGTTACTTCAGGTGATTATGACGCTACTGGAAACACAGGAAGCAGCAGAAACTACCTCCTGCTTAAAGAGAACAGGAACTGGGGGCAAGTTTGGATTCTTAAAGGCAAAGTTATAGACTCATTAGGTGTTAGACTTGGAAGGGACCATACAGGTGAATGAATCACTCCAGTAAATTTACATGGTGGTGAGCACTGTGTCCCAAGGGGAGGGGATCCTCTGTTAAGTCAGATGTGTCCTAGATGACAGTGGGTGCCGTACATTACTCTGGATCTGAAAACCAACATTTTCATTTGGGCCAAATGGGAACATACCTGCACACATTTTTGATGTCCCAACCATTCTCCTCTGTGCTCTAGTCACCTTTAAAGGCAGATTTGTGGAGAGCTCTCAGCAATAAGTTGCTGTTTATTGGCTGTAAGTCAACAGGTTAGTGGAAGAACCAGGAGCCTCATTCCTTTGATTTAATTACTGGGTGGCATTATGTCGTGGAAGCAAAATAGCAGTAATTGGCACAGGCGAGGTATGGGAGACTTGGTACCCACCTGCGGATATCATAGTCTTGTCATAAAACAAATTTTTGCTGTCAGGGACATTTGGTACAGGGTTCTCTAATGATTTGCTTCTTATGAATTTAGTAGAATGTTGCTAAGTTTTGACCCTTTTAACCTTTAGCCTTTTGGATGGGTGCAAGTAGGAATTCAGAGAAGGAGCTCTGCTTTCCACATAACCGAGCCTGGGGAACATCACCAGAGCAGAAAAGTTGTTCTTACAGCTTGGCTTGCTGCTTTTCCTCTGCCTCTTCCTCTGTATTTTTAGAAATGACCCACTGACTTTGTGACCTTTGAGGCATACTTTCTTGTCCACTACTTGAAGCTTTGCTGGGAGATTTGTTTGTGAAATGTCTCTGCACTCCTCTGTTGCGTTCATATGTACCGCTTGGGCATTCCTTCAGCGTCTAATTCTGTAGTTTCCACACATTAAGCAGAGAGAAAGACCATTTCTTGGGGATGATCCTGCCAGGACCCAGTTATCCCTCTCTAGCTTACCTGCTCTACCTTCTCTCTGTTATGTCTTTGGCTACTAGTTTTGCTGGGGAGAATAATTTTAAGACACAAATCAGCCCCTTGGCTCTTTAATTCCTGTAACCCTGAACAGTGACAGACCTTTTGTGTATGTGGGGACAGTGCATCCTGCACCCGGCTTTCCCTATAATCGAATGCCTACATATTATGCTAGTAGCAACTCTTGTAGTCTGTCCATATCTTCTGCATTTCTGGCACCAAAGCTGAACTGTGTCACTGAATATTCTGAATCCTGGCCAAGGATTCATTACACAGATTCCTGTAGGCATTTAAAGGTGGGAAAGAAATTGGATTCAGAAGAGGGAGGGGGTATTGAAAGGAATCTTTCTGAACACTTTTCCCCCTAATTTTTATAGCTATATATTATATAACGTTATGCTGAATTTCTATTTAGAGTGTCAGATTTAGTTCTTAACTATCTTGGAAATCTTAACTGTTGATGTTGGTATGTTTCTATGTTTTCCCATCTCATTTTTAGGTAAAGTGACTTCTGAGGACAGAAGAGTTTGATGACGCAGACCACTGAATTTCTTTGTTTGGAGTCCACGTTATGAACCCTTTCTGGAGCATGTCTGCAAGCTCTGTCCGCAAAGTAGGTATAGTTAATAAATTTAGCGAGGAAACCCATTTGAGTCAAAGTAGAGGTCAAAAATAATTCATTCCAAGGTTGCCTATAATCTTAACAAAATTAGCTGGCTTTGCTTATTAGTTTTTTTTTAAGTTTATTTTTTTTTAGTAATCTCTATACCCAACATGGGGCTCGAACTCACAACCCTGAGATCAAGAATCTTCCGATGGAGCCAGCCAGGCACCCCTAGGTTTTACTTTTGAGAAATAATTATTTTGCTGATTAAAGTTAGTTTCTGAGACTGAGATAGCATCTCAAATAGAAATCATCCTGGTAATTACAATTCTAAGATTATTTTTTAGGGTACATTTACACATGATGAAATTTGTGACACGTTATTGTAGTAGTCTTTTTACTAATTTGTAAGATTCCACAGTCAGAGAAGCTTTGAGAAAGACCAGTCCAATGTGGCCAACTCAGACTTGAGGGCACTGGTTTCATTTTTCCAAACAAAATGTCCATTTTTAAATTGCAAAGACAGTACGTTTTAGGAAAGCTTAAAAAATGCAGACAAAAAGAGAATGAATATAACCCCTAACTCCACGTCTAAGAGACCACTGCCAGGAATCATCTTTTTTCGTCTGCACATGATATCCATTTTTAATGCAGGTAATTTAAACAGCCTTTGGCTGTACTTGAGCCAAGGAAGTGCCTGTGAGGTGGTGGTTTCATCTGTGACTCATGTAGACCTTTGTCCCTGACTCAGGCTGACTGACAGTCTGTGCTTGGGAGAGTCCAAATGTGGATCATCTCTATCAGGGACAAGATCAGAATCAGAGCAGCACAAGTGAGAACGTAACTTCATTCATTGTTTCTAAGCGAGGTGCTCACGCCAGGTGGTGGCTAGTTGGGAGTCACCTCTACTGTTGGTTTTGAGCTGCTTCACACCTGACCTTCTACAGCACGTAGGAGCCAAACGACTCTTCTTGTACAGTTGTCTAATTGCTGAGTAACCCCTTGCCCTCTTTTAGGGGTCACCAGAGGAAACCATTTCTTTCTCTGTTTCGTGTACATCCTGTAAATATTGGCGTTGTTTTTGTGGGATGTAGCTTTTAAAATTTTTTCCTGTTGCTTTAGTCTTCCTTCAGCTTTGTTCTCTTTCCAATGGCCTGCCTACTCAGAGGACTTTCAAGTTCTCTTGGTCGTGGTGCTAGAACGTCCTTGTGAAAGTCATTCCAGCTTTTAGGTCAGGGATAAGCGTACGTCACATGTACTCTCTTGATTTAAGAATCATGCTAACAAATGTTCTCACCACTTCATCCTGAATAGCGATCTGACGGTGAAGAGAAGGCGTTAGCAGGGGACGTGATAACCAGCCCTCCACGTGCTGCCCCGAAGAAACAGCTGCCTTGTATTCCCAAAAATGCTCTGCCCATAACTAAGCCTACGTCCCCCGCCCCGGCAGCACAGTCAACAAATGGCACACATGCTTCTTACGGACCCTTCTACCTGGAATACTCTCTTCTTGCAGAATTGTAAGTGCTTAAACTATCTGGTTAGATTCTGACTGACCTTTGAAGGTGAAAAATGAGATTTATTCTGGTGCACTCCGTAAATGCCTGTGTGGTTCAGTCTTAAAGCTCAAATGCATCCCCCTCCAATATCAGGTGGATAAGATTTAAAGGCAAACATGGGCTTGCATTTCCGTGTCTGTTTTGGAGAGCAAGAAGAAGAGACGAAAACTAAGCACCTAAAGTCAGTCAGGAATGGAGTAATTTTGGTGTTCCTTTATGTGAGGTGAGGAAGTCCCCTCCTGAGGGGGTGCTTGTGGAGAGCGGGACAGTGGGAGGTAGTAATCTGTCCCCTCTTGGGTCAGACCCAGCTGGAGGCTTGTGCTCCCCTGTGGTGCCCACCTTCTAAGAGGTGACAGCCCGAGGAGAGGGTCCAATAGGCCAAGGTTAGGAAGCCAGACCTCAGGAGCCAACAGTCGAAGGAACCGGAACCGCCGACTCAGAGAAGAGACCACATAGGAGGTACTTATTAAAGCTGCCCTCGTGTATTTGAAGGTCTGTCATTACAAAGGGGATTGGACTCCTGCCTTGTGACCCACAGAGGCAGAAGTAGGCAGTGACAGGGAAGTCACAAAGACTCGGGCTCCGTGCAGGTGAGAACCGGACGAGTCCCAGCAGCTGAAAGTCAGACTGAAGTCGCACGTGTCAGTAGCGGGAGGTGAGGAGCGTGCCCAGTGTGCTGGCCACGCTGACCGCAGGGGCTCGGGCAGTGTCGGGTTTGGTCCCGTGTTCCCGGGGCCCAAGTGTGGAGAATGAATTCTTAATTTCTGTCATCGTTAAGTTCCTTTGCACAGCATCCTCAAGTGTTCCCTCGCTGTACCCCTGTGGTAGCAGTGGTCCCTCCAACTTTATAGTGGAGGCCTTGTGTGTGAGGCTGGGCAGCGAGTTAGACAGACTTCTATTGTGGCCCGAATCTGCTGTCTGTATTAGAACACAGACCGGCCTCCCTGTAGCAGATGCATCTGCTGCTGACATGCTGAATCTTAGTGACTTAAACACGGAGTAAAGGATTAAAAATAAGTGTGATGGTAAATAGGTAATAAGAACAGACAACGAAGGTTCAACAAGTTGTTTCTCAATAAAATTCAGGCTTGGCAGGTTAAACATGTTTTAAGGCCCAAGGTCAGCATTGTTCCAGCTCCGGTCTCAGCCTTACTCCTTTAGGCACACCGTGATGAGGTCCCCAGAGAGCTGGTACCGCCTTTGTCCGCGCACTTGTCATCCCTTGCTGCAGGGCCCACAGAGGTCAGGCGCCCGGGTTGGGGGGTCACTTGAGAGGGAGAGCATAGGGGGAGCGCCTCACGCACATGTCTGCCTTCACCAAGAACGCTGCAGATGTGAACACGGCCCTCTGCCACATGGAGTAGTGTTCACACTTAAAATGACACCGAAGTGATGGCAGTTCCATGGAACTTTTATTCTTACTACCTAAAATTGTGCTTCAGGAGGCTTTTGAAAGTGTGTGGGTGCAATCTATTGTCTACAGTCACAAAAGCAAAAATTGTACACTCTCTTTTCCCTAAAATTTAATGTCCAGAATTTTAAATCCAGGTGCATTGTTCAGCATTACCTACTGGTTGGTTTCCAAGGTGATGTTTTGGGAAAGTTGATTTCTGGGAGGAAAACTTGATTCTTTGTGTATCCCTGCTTGGCTTGAATTTCTTTGTCCAGGGCCCTCTCTGGTTCCTGTTTCTCTGAGCTTCATCTGTAAAGCTGGGAAACGGGCGAGAGTCTGGGCCAGGTGAGGTGGTGAGGACTTGGCTTGTGTGTGAGCTGTCGGCTGCCCCTTGAGGGATTAGTCCTTCTCTCGTAAAGTGAGTGTAGGGTTGTTTGATCCGTATCTGTCATTTACATCCATACAATTTCATTATTCTGCTTCTGTTTTAGTACCTTGGTTGTGAAGCAGAAGCTACCAGGTGTCTATGTGCAGCCATCCTACCGCTCTGCATTAAGTAAGAAGGAGTCACTCTTAATTTCTCGCAGATTGGTTCCTCTAACACAAACTTGGGCCTTAATGGTTTTTTATTTTTTCCCACAGTGTGGTTTGGAGTCATATTCATACGGCACGGACTGTATCAAGATGGTGTGTTTAAGTTTACAGTTTACATCCCTGACAACTACCCAGATGGTGACTGCCCAGTAAGTAAGAAGTCAAGTCTGGCTTCATTTCTTGGGTCCGAGGAGGGCTTAAAGGGCTTGAAAGATTTCTTGGTTCTTTTCCTGAGCTCATGATTTTACGATTTCAGTTTCCCAAGCTCTGTACTACAGCAGAGCTCCGGGGGGCCCCCCCACCCCGCCCCCGGCTGCAAAATTGAGTTTTACGGGAAAATGGTAGAAGTTGTCAAGTATCCCTCTTGAGGCAGCCCTTTGACTTAAAAAACACCGTGACTGCCTTGTCCTGAAGCTCCCTTTACACATGTCTGTATAGACCTGATAAGCTCCTTGCTTCCATTAAAGGACATGTCTCTCTCTAAATACAGCGCTTGGTGTTTGATATTCCCGTCTTTCACCCGCTAGTCGATCCCACCTCAGGTGAACTGGATGTGAAGAGAGCATTTGCAAAATGGAGGTTAGTAAATAAGGTTTACTTTGGGGACCTAAGTCAGCAAGAGGATGCTTCAGTGATCCTGCGTGTTTTTCTTTAGGCGGAACCATAACCACATTTGGCAAGTTTTAATGTATGCAAGGAGAGTTTTCTACAAGATTGATACATCAAGCCCCTTAAACCCAGAGGCTGCAGTGCTGTATGTTACTCTGCTTTTGTCCTTTTAGATAAATTTGAAAATGCAGCTAAGTAGATTATGTTGGTAACTTTTTGCATTAAACTTTTAACACAGGTACGAAAAAGATGTTCAGCTTTTTAAAAGTAAAGTGGTTGACAGTGTTAAGATGTGCACTGCTCGTTTGTTTGACCAACCTAAAATAGAAGACCCCTATGCAATTAGGTAAGTGGTACATGATCTAGATAAACTGCACTTGCCAGCCTGTACTTCCATGTTCCAGGTGGTCTTAGAATGGGGATTTAAAAGGAAAGTGTGTCATCTGTTAGCCTCCAACCTTTATAATTTGTTGGCAGCTCGTTTTCTGGTACCTCTCGGGTACCCCTTAAACAGAAAGCTGCATGTCGACTGGCATATTGTGCCTGGCAGCAAGCTGTTGAGTGACTTTGATTTTCTGAGGATCCTGGTAATGTGCACGTTCAAATGTCCACACTTTGCTTTTCAGTTGGCAGTTGCAGCTGGAGCCCCTCACACTGCCATATCCCCCCTCCCCCGACATTCAGATTTGGGGAAGGGAGGGAGACTGAAGAGGGTGAAGAGTGTGTTACTTTAGCACTATGATACTTAATCTTAGACGCATCTGAAGGAGTACTGAGACCCAAGGAATTGCGGATTTAGCTCTCTGGGAGGTTGCGTGGGACAGAAACCGTTAAAACGGTTTCATAATCTCTGCGGATAGACGGGCTGGCCTTTGTCCTTACTGACTTGGGTAACCCAGAGCAATGACTCAATTTGACTGGCACACTTTCTTCATCTGTAAATAACAGTACTTCAGGGATGGTTGTGAGGCTGAAATGAGCTGACGCGTGTAAGTGGTCTATGAGGGATAGTTACCCTGTGACAGAATCATCTAGAGTCACATCTAAAACTTACATGTTGACAACTGAGTATTGCTCCTTGTTAAGTTTTGTTTAGGGAATAAATGGATGTTCTACAAATTTAGTAAGCCAAAGCGGTTTTTTAATATTTTTCTCTTCCTTAAGCTTTTCTCCGTGGAATCCTTCTGTACATGATGAAGCCAGAGAGAAGATGCTGACTCAGAAGGTAAGTACATAACCATTTTCGAAATCGTTAGCTGTTTCCTTTCTGAAATGTCTTCATTGGAGACTACTTACTATATACAAATACGTTTTTGGGAAATGAGTTTGTACAGTGCCAACGTCTCCATCAGTCCTATTTTTAATGTCTGTTTTTGATTATGCCTAGAAGAAGCCTGAAGAACAGCACAATAAAAGTGTTCATGTTGCTGGCCTGTCATGGGTAAAGCCTGGTTCAGTACAACCTTTCAGTAAAGAAGAGAAAACAGTAGCGACTTAAGCGCTGGTGAATCTGGTGCACCGTGCACTTTCCTGCCGGACTCGGGCCTAGTTAGAGCTGACCGATGGCAAAGGACTGCCGGAAGAGTAAAACTGTGTGAACGAGGACTGGTATCAGTGTGTCCGTGTGTGCTTAGGTTCTAACAGCAAGTTTTGGAAACCTCTCTTTAAGTAATGCATTACTTCCGTCAGAAGTGTCTTTAGGGTGGTTATCTAGTTCAGTACTCCAAATTATTGGGGACCTCGAGGCTTAAGTATTTTTCTGAATATAATGCTAAAGGTAAGTGACATTCATTTAAACTAATAGAGTAGACAGAGTTCGGCACTCTCTAATGACCCTGGCATCTGTGGTTTCAGTTGTATATATGTTAGGGCGTGAAGAGAGGTAGAGAGAGAGCAGGTTCCATAGCTGATTAGTGCTTTTAAGTGGAAGATCATCTGAACCTCAGTCTTCAGCCTACTGTTTTACTGATTTACAGACTCCTGTCAATCACTGAGGTACACATTAGGTGAGTGAGAGGAAACCAGAACACTTGTTCATAGTTGTTTTTTTGTTTTTTTTTAAAGAAAATTACTTATTACTGTATTTTTATGGCAGGAGGGAGAGTGTTAAAACGGTTTCTAATGAAGTCAGATATTTAAATGATGAATGACTAATGTGTTTTGTAGAGACAAAATAAACCAATAAATGATTGTTCTTTGTCATTTATGCAGGAAACTAAATACCCCTTTCTCAATATAACTAAACAAAGATTAACTTATAAATGCTTTATTGAAAAATACACTTATTTTCATATAAAATTACAGTAGCAGTAAGTATCTTGAGAGGTTTTATAAATATTTTTGCACCACTATTCTAACTGAACAGTGTAAGTTCCATATTTCTTTCAGAGCAATATGAAGTTACCCAGTAACTTGGTTTATACTGATTCAATTTACAATTGAATTTTCTCCCTAATAAGATTATTCATTCATCTTTAAAACTGCTGGAACAATAGTGATTAATAAAGGTATATATTGATAATTCAATAGCTGTTAAATAACATTTCTAATTTTTATAAATGGTACTATGTACTAATAAAAACCTAAATGCTCCAATCTATTTTTTAAACTGCCAGGAACACACCCAAAGATATCTTAAATTTATCACCTTAATAGACACGTGTCTTTCAGATAACTACCTCCTAAAGAAGAGGTCATAATTTTTCATATTCCCTTAATTCAACTTGATTTACAATCTTTACTTAGCCAACTGATCCTTATTAACAAAAAACTGGAGAATTTAAAACACATGCCCAAAGGTGGCTACTGGGGCTTGAACAGTTTAAAAAAAGTACAAAAGCATCAAAGATGATATTGCATGTTTAGCCTGGAAGTTTTATACTTCATAAAGTTCACATTGTAGAAAGTGCCATCGCAAATATACAGCAAAATCTGGGTTACAAAATCATGCTTTTTACAGCCCTAAAGTGCCACTTCTTATACAAGTTCACTCACACATTGCACACCAAACAATCCAGCACTTACCACACTGTACCACACCTAATGGGAAGAGGGAAGAATTACACAAAGGGAACGGGAGATTTGGGATGATAATCTAGGAGCTCCAAATCTGGGCTCTCTCCCTTGTTCTGTTTCAGGAATGCAAAAACCTCCTAACTCCTACCAAGCGTTTTGGGACAAACACCTAAGTTTTTGTCTTGCTTTTCATGAGGGCCAGAAGCTGACCACAAAACAGGTAGGAATGAACAGAAACCCAGTCCCTCTGCCAGAGTACGTCAACAGAGACCTCTTACACATATATTTAAGCACGCTCTGTTCCCTGTAATACTTGCAAGAGCGTTGCTGAAGAGTTAAAACATCCATGTTTGGATTCTAAGCAGCCTTGATGGCAAGCACTGAGTGGTAGGAAAAAGGCATTTGGGATGAGTAGAGATATCCCAAGGATACTAGAAGATTAGGAAAAGCCCCATAATCTAGCATGCATTTAATGGTGCTGCTGAACAGAGTTTGTGAAAAGACAGTTTCAGTACAACAGACTAACCTCAGTGAGCACCTCGGTCATTAGCTACATCTTGGAGACGGCGTAATAAGGCAGAATGATTTTCCGGGCAAATTCTTTTTGCGGGTGATTCACTTCCATCTTCCAAAAGAATCCCTCTCTTTTTGGTTGGAGTTTCTCCTGTCCGTATCATACTGTTAATTTCTCTCAATCTCTAGAGTGGGGAAAAAATAAATACAAAACTTTAAAATTCTAATACGCAGAGTTCAGTGGTAAGTCAAAGAACCTCAAATGAGTTAAGAGTTTAACTTCAAGAGTTTGAACATCTTTATAAAGAAAAGACCTACTAAATTATACATCCTCCGATTTCACTTCTCAGCCAGCCATTTTTTAACAAGCTCCAGGGGTGATTCTGATGTACACTTTTCCAAAGATAAGAGTTTGCAAATTTGTGATTTTTTTTTTTCCTACAATAGTTATGGAGCATCACCTTGCTATGGCATACTTAGTCAATTCCACACGTCTCTGTTTTCCTTTTTTAAAAAATAGTGTGATTTTACACAGTATTATGCCCTTTTCAGTCTAGTGTTACTCATTTTTTTAAGCAGTTCTCAACTGGAATTTCACAGTACAAGTAAGCCTTAATTCCCTAAGGTATCCATTGTAGGTAATTTATTAGTATGATCTAGAAGGTACTAGTTATTTTTCATCCTTGGGAGAAATGAGAAAAATGTGGCAAATTATTTTCTGTGTTCTATGGTTAATGTGAGGAACCCTGATTGAGGAAAAACTGCCAGGATGCTAGTGAGACTGGACCTATCTATATATAGTGCCTTTAGCATTAAGTTTCTCCAAAGCCCCAAAAGTCAGTTGCCACGTTATTTTCTGGTAGTTTGTTGGTCACAGTTTTTTTTTTCACATGCTGCTTTGCTTCACTATCCATGTTTCCTTATGGAAAATATACTCACCATATTCACCTGGGTTTATTAGAGAAAAATCTCAAACAGGAAAGTAGGCAGAGTAATGAATTCTCACATAACAACTACCCCACTGCACCAATTTTGGCCAGTCTTACTTGATCTATACCCTCATTCATTTCCCATACACCAGATTGTTTTAAAGCTAATCCTAGACCTATTTTATTCATATTTTATTTTTTATTTTAAAATTTTTCTGAGGTTTTAAATAAAATCACCAGTGTTCTTATTAGCATATGCACCTTCTCAAATCTTAACCACCTTAAGAAAGCTTTCCTTTGACTTTCTCTTCTACCCGCTTGCATTCCTAATCTCTAGTTTCCTATTTACTTGACTATTCCTTAAATTGTTGTATAAATGTTATTTGTATATAATGTCTACATATTATGTGAAATATAGTGTATAACTTAATGTACATAGCACATTTATACCATACAATATATATTGTACATTAATGTGTTACATTACATATAATTTATATACAACACACAGTATCTTACACATCACAGTTTATTTACACAATATGTACATATTTAGAACACGAATAAATTCTTATTCCAAAAAAAAATTCATACAGAATATGCTGAGATTTCTTGTCCTCACCAGTTCCTGGGACATCTACTGTTATTTTTTCATTCGCTGAACAAATCAGGCTTACTTATAGCCTCTGCTTTCTATCTACGAATGCACTCACTAGAAATGAAATATTAAGTGAGGTTTAAAAAAAAAAGGTTTGAAATGGCAGGGGTGCCTGGATAGCTCAGTCAGTTAAGTGTCCGACCCTTGATCTAAGCTTAGGTCTTAATCTCAGGGTCGTGAGTTCAAGTGCCATGCTGGGCTCCACGCTGTGTGTGCAAGCCTACTTAAAGAAATTGAAATGGCATATTTTATGTGTTGTTTGGAATATTTGTTCAACCAACATTGCATCTTCGATCTTATCAGCATATATATCAGTATATATCCCATATCAGTGTATATGCACATCTCTTTAGTTGCTATACAGTATTCTATGTCTATCACAGTTTAATCCTTTATTGATGTATTATTTCCTCCCAGTTGTTTCATACTACAAACAATGTTATAATATTCAACAGGCTGTACCAGTCCACTGAAACTGCCCTGACAAGTGTCACTAATGATCTCAAATCATGTTAATTACCTTGTGTGGTATTTTAGAATTCTTTTCCCATGGTAGTGTGTAAATGTTAGGCTATTATAGGTTGGTTCAAGACTCAAGGTACTTCTGATCTCAGCTATCTATTAAGTCATGACAGATGTTTCTTCAACAGTCTAATTTTGCTATTATTTATTGGAGAAACTCCCAATTCTGTGCAAATTTTTTTTTTAAATCTTTCCAGGTGGTGATAGACAAGAGTGAAAGCCACAGATCCAGATGCTTGATCTAACTTTTTTTGCACAAAATGTCATTTTTTAAAGGTTTACCTACAGTAAAATTCACCCTTATAAAGTGTACATTGGTGAATGTTTTGACAGTCATGTAACTACCACAGTGAAGAACAGTTTCTTCATTCCCCAAAATTCCCACATTGCTAGTTAATCTACCCACCCCCAGCCAGCAAGCACTGATGATGTTCCCTGTCCCTATAGTTTGCCTTTTCCAGAATTTCATAGAAATGAAACCCTACAGGAAGTGTCCTACCAAATCCAGTGTGTTTCACTTAAGCACCAATGCACTTGAGGTTTGTCTGTGTTGCTGGGTGTATCAGTAGTTTGTTCCCCTTTACGGCAAAGTAGTTGGCCATTATCCGGGTGTACCACAGGTCTACTTATCCATTAGCCAGCTGGAGGACATCTGGGTTGTTTCCCACTTTTTGACAATTAAGAATAGTCTTATTAAACGTTCATGTACATGTTTTTGTATGAACCTTGGGTGAATACCTAGAAGTGAAATTACTGGTTATATCATAAGGGCATGTTTATAAGAAAATGCCAAACTATTTTGCAGGTGTTAGAGCTATGCTGAATCATTTTGCATTCTCACTAGGAATATATAAACGTTCCAAGTGCTCCACATCATTGCCAGAATTTGTTACTGTCATTTTTTGGTTTTAGGCATCCTAATAGGCATGTAATGGATGAAGTGTGTTAAATCTTTTGTCTGATTTTAAATTTGGTTGGTTGGCTTTCCTTTTGCATTTTGATAATCCTTTATAGTTGCAGAAATAAATCCTTTATCAGATAAGAGGTTTGTAAACTTTTCTCCCAGTTTGCGGCTTGTTTTTTCTTTTAAAGAGCAGGAATTCTTAATTTTGATGAAGTTAGATTTATCGGTCTTTTATGGATTGTGCTTTTGATTCTGTTATCTAAGAACTCTTTGTGTAAACCATGTTCACAAAGATTTTGTTCCCGTATGGTTTCTCCTCAAAGTTTCATAAGTTTTACACTTAGGTCCATGGTCCATTTTGATTCATTTTTATATGTGGTACAGAGTATGGGTGCAAGTTTACTATTTGTATATGATTATCTAGTTGTTCAGCACCATCTGTTGAACAACGAAATTACTTTTGCACCTTTGTTGACAATGAGTTGACCATGTATATGTGGTCTATTTCTGGATTTTATTCTATCGATCTGTATGTCTGTCCTTTCACCAATACCACATTGTCTTGATTACCATAGCTTCATAGTTAAGTCTTGAAATCAGTGTGGGTCTTCCAAGATTGTTTTAATTATTCTAGTTCCTTTGCATTTTCATATACATTTTGGAACCAGTTTATTGCACAGATAATTCTGCTGGGACTTTGTCAGGAATTAGATTGAATATATAGATCAAGTGGAAGAAAACGGACATCTTGAAAATGTCATCCAATTCATGAACATGGAATTTCTCCATTTTCAGTCTTTCCTTCAC